TGAGAAGTGAAGGGTAAGATGTGAACTTCCTAAAAGGCCCAGCAAACTTCCCTTGGGAGATGGAAGTTATACATTCTCTTTTTTTAAGAACCCAGGACTTCCTAAAACCAATTCATTGTAGCACTTCCAAGAAAGTGCTATAATAATATGGATTTCCAATTTGGGGAGCTGGAACTTTCAGCTATCAACCATGCCCTTGTGGAAAAAGTCAAATGAGAATCTTCTTGTCTTCCTTTCTTAATCAATTTGAGAGGACTGATTTTTACCAATAATTTAATCACAAAAGAGATTAACTATACATCATTACTGTGCACGCTCCATTGTTCCAATTGGGTGGTAGCATAATTAGCATTAATTGGTAAGGGAAGAGGGATTAACAAAGGTTGAGGGGAGGAGCTGGCTTTGGCTTGCACATGGGATGGATGTGGGGGTTCATTACATTATGGGAAAAGAATATATATAGAGCCTAGGCTCTAAACAATCAAATTAGAGCCTAACTCAAAACTTCCATTAGAAGAAGTTGCTTTCGTGCTCAAATATCTTTAAATTGATCATCTCGACACCAAGATGCATGGACATGAGAAACAAATGGATTTCAAGTTTTGGAAAAATTGCATATTTTAACGCATTTTTGGACCGTCAATTTTCAAGTTTTCCTAGATCTTCTCGATCTATTCTATTTTTTGAAGCTTTAAATTTTATAACTAAGAATGAAAATATAATTTAAGGCCGTCATAAAACTTTCTAGTATTGAAAACATATTTCTCGACACTATTTAAAAGTGGGTTCTAAATTGATTGTTTAGTGCCTTGGCTCTATACAAACCGCACCCGTACATTATAGGTGAGAGTCCCACACGTTTTTCTCGTGGGAAGGAAACATTCATTTCCAGCAATTGAGTGAGGGATGCGGTTTCTATGAGTCAGCCGTCTTATATGTACACGCGTAGCTTCTTTCCAAGTCCACTTTGAAGATGGATTTTTTTTAAAAAAGTTTTAGGCATTCATTATCTAAGCTAAACCGGTCATAAATATGAATTTTTTTCTTGAATTTTAGAATGTTTTTTTTTTTTTGGGATGTTTTGGCACCATGTGTGTTTTATACCATGTCAGAGTTTGAGGGCTCTTGCACCCACTTTTTCTTAATTGAATAATAGCATGAAGGGTCCCAAATCCCGTTTTTCAACACAACCCACCACACCCCACCACATATAGGTACTATCCGCATTTTGTTATAACAAGAATAAGGAAATGTATAGAGTGAGATTATTTATTTTAGCATAAAGAGATCACAATCATTCTTGACCTTTCGATATAAAATTAGGTAGTTGGGGATGTGTCATTCATTGACCGGCCTCAAAGTCTAAAATAAAATTTTTCGAACGTTGTCAAACAATCTTTTAGATTTCAACAATTAGTAAGAATGATTGTAACTACTGTGTACCAAAAATGAATAGTCTTATAATATACAATCCCCAAAAATAATGGTCTTCACAGCATTAACAACCCCCTAACCTTGACGTCACGTAAACATAACAATTGGGGGTTAAACAACAACTACCATTGTATGACGAGTTGAATGCTAGTGATATTTGGGCTTCTAGATCGAGGAATTTAAGGTCACATCTTGTGCTTTCAAATTTGTGTATTTTACTCTCGTCTTTTTTTTTTCCTTTTTTTTTTTTATCTTTCTCTAAGGCTCCCTACTTTGGGCCATTTGAAGTAATAAGAAAGTTTTTGATTTTGGTTCTTCAGGATATGAAGTTATGGCTTCAAATTTTTTGACTTCAGACTTTCAAGAAGTTCTAGCTTCGGACGTTCATGATCTAAAACTAAGACACAAGTCTCGACTTTAGATCATGAAGATCTGAAATCAAGATATATAAAAAGTTGACTTTGGATCTTCGTGGTTTGAAGTCAAGTTTTGTCAACATGACCCGAAGTTGACAAAGCTGGACTTCATAGGTCTAAAGTCACCAATTTGTTTTTCAAAACTTTGTTCGAAAATTGTTATCGCTTTGACGTTGAAAGTCCAAAGTGAGGGCATTATGAAAAAATATAAAAAAGACAAAAAAAGCTGCTAGCATTGTGAAATGGAAATAGACCAGTCCCCCTTCCATTCAATTGTAACTTTTTCTTTGTTTTGACAAAGTTAAAAACTTTATTAATGAAATGATTCTACTCCATTATAATTATTATTTCTTTAAGGGTTGGGGTTTGGTCCCTTCCCTTGCTCTTCTACTCGACGACATCCACTTTCCAAAGGTGATATTGGGGATAGATTTTGGGGCCGATTCAGTACACATATATTACGAATCAGCTGATTTCTTTTATAAACTGGTCAGTTCTCTGACAAAAACCAGTGGTTCTACCAAAAAACCGACAATCAAGCCTGGATTTGAATCGGTGCACCGGGACAAAATTACCTTTGCTCTAAATTTGTATTTTTCAAATTTTTTATTTTTTAATGAGTGGGGCCTAGATCCCACACTCTCCCTCTCCAATTTTTACTAAGCGGGCCTCACTCAGTACCCACCCTTTTTAATTTATCCACCTGTACTTGCTTTTGGTATCATATGTTTCATTCCTCCACCATGTGGGACAAATGTGTAGGAAGAAAATAATTATAGGGTGCGGTTTGTATAGAGCCGAGGCTCTAAACAATCAAATTAGAGCCCACCTTCAAATAGTATAGAGAAATATGAGTTTAATATTGAAAATTTTTGCGATAGCCTCAAAATATATTTTTATATTTAATTATAAAATTTAAAGCTTAAAAAATAGCGTAAATCTATAAAAACTTGAAAATTGATGGTAAAAAATGCATTACAATATGCACTATTTTCAAAGCTTGAAATCCATTTTTTTCTCATGTCCATGCATCTTGATGTCTAGATAATCAATTTGATGATATTTGGGGATCAAAACAACCTCTTCTAGTGAAATTTTTTAGCTATGTTCTAATTTGATTGTTTAAAGCCTAGGCTCTATATAAACTTTTCCTATAATTATAAAAACATTTCAATTGAAAATGATAGAGAGAGAAATACAGATATGAAAAAAGAATTCTATTGTAAAGCTTATGGATAGCTAGAGAGATGGACAATGACTCTGAAATTTTTCTCTGTGTACTGTAATGGGTGAGTGAGCCGCTTTTATAAGCATTGGAGCTTATCCCCTGGTCATATATGACAGGTTTTGCATCCAATGGTCTAAATTTCTCCCTGCCTATATCAATCACTAAGCTTTCCTTTTTTTATCATTCTCTCTCTCTCTCTCATCTCAAAGAAAAACGTTTGGTTTAATGTGACCGTTAGAA